ACTAAACAGCCTACAGTATTTTTACAGTCTTTATTTTACAGTTAAAATAACTGTTTATCAAATAAAGTTTAATGTTACAACTAATCGTGGATCCCTTTAAAAAGGCAGAACGTCAGATTTTGTTTGAAATTGATGTGGAAGGCAGAGTCTTCCTTTAAAAAGTAGCGGCTGTAATCAGCCGGTGATAAAACAAAACAATAAGTTAATGCTGTTATTTATTGGTCTGGTAGCTTTACAGCCCTGTGTGTAAACATGTGTACTAAATGTTGTTTTAATAAGTACATGAAGTAGTAATTAATGAGGAAAGTAAACACACAGGAACAGATTYACATACTGGCAGGCTGTAAAAATGAACCCGAGTCCATTTTATGGAGAAGCATCCCCCATTTAATTACTGCCATGCTAATTGAATCCCTGTGTGAGTGATGTATGGGGATAGGAGTCCCTGGGACAAAATGAAAATGAAATAGCATTACACAGCCGAGCAGATAATCCATTTAAAGTTGTCTGAGAAGTGAGAAGGATTAGTTGATGCAGAGCCATATGGTGTGGATGTCAGAAGACATCAAAGTTGTTTGAAAGCTAAAATCATGCACCAACTCTGTTTTAGCTGAACTTCTTAAATCTCCTGACAAACTAAGAAAAACGCACCAGCGACAGAAACCAAGCTGTAACTGTGTCTGACCTACTTTTATTATTAGGATCAAACTTCTGATGTTAAGTTGCTGCATTTTACTTTGGATCTTGTCGGAGTGGTGATGTGCTTCTTTGTTTTACAATCAAAGCTTTGGTATTCTGTACTGACAACAATAATAATACTTCTTGTGACAGGACTGGGCTCTTTGTGAAGGCATCGRCACAGAGGACTGCTGAACTTCCACAGTTTATTTTTATGAGACACAAATACCACCTGGAGATGGTTAAATATTTGACAGGAATGCATGATGTCTGAGAATCCATCCATCCATCATCTATACCTGCTTCTTCCTTCTAGGGTCATTGGTGCCCATGTTCAGGAATCACTGTGTGAGGGGYGGGGTACAACACAAACAACCATTCACCCTTTCACACACCTAGGGACAATTTAGAGTTATCAATCAACCAAACAGTCRTGTTTTTAGTCTGTGGGAGGAAACCRGAGTACCCGGAGAGAACATGGAAACTCTACCCAGAAAGGTCTCTGGGTCAGGATTTGATCCGGCAATCTTCTTGCTGAGAGGCATCAGCTCTACCAACTGATCCGTCTTTGAGAAGGGTTTTTTTTGCAGTGGGTTTTTCTTTAAATGTATAAATAATGTGCAAACTGCACCAGTGTAGTCCACTTTGCACATCGCCATATACAGTATATCAGCTTGAAGCAACAGTATGCATACAGTCCTGATCAAAATTTTAAGACCAGTTGAAAAATGGCAAGAATTCATATTTTACACTGTTGGAAGGTTCTACGTTGTCAGGTTTAGACATAGAATGACCCAGGGCACAGGCAGAGTTGCGATGAAACAAAAAATAAGGTTTTTATTAAATCAAAAAACTGGCGAGGCAGCTGGAAAAAACTCTTAAGGTGACGTGGCAAAAACTCTTGGAACATGAAAAACGAGCCACGCTTTGCAGCACAATGATCGGACACTGACACAGAGACAAGACAGAGCTTAAATACACAGGATGAGTTAACAGAAAACACCTGAGGAAAAGGAAGCAACACTAATCACAGAACTGAACACACCTGAGACTAAAGGAACTGAAGAGAAAACCCACATGAACAAAACCCCAAAACAGGACCTAAAAAACTAACCATAATACAAAAACAGAAACCAAAAAAATAAATAAAAAATAAAAAAAATATGACAAAGTAGAGCTTGGAAAGAGATAAAAAATAAAACAAATAACATCAAAATAAGCATTTTATTTCAAACAACCATTAAACTGAACTAGGCATCATCAGGTTCATCAGATCTATGTTAGCTTCACTAAGTGAAAACAGTGAATTGATGTGGGTAATTAGAATTAATTTGTTTGTTTGGACAGAAAATCAACTTCTTTAAAGAACAGGCAGACCTCTATGGCAGAAATCTGTGGTGGTGATGGAAAACTTTAAACCATCTTTTCCAACTCCCAAAAAACATTCAAGGACTTTCAAGGATGGGTAAGACACCCATCCTTGAAAGTTTTTGATGCTATGTTGTAAAGTTATTTGCCTGGCCCTTACCTTCCTATGTAGTTCCGCTCAATTCTAGTTTCCCTTCACTGCTCTGAAAGAAAAAACAAGTTATTCGTGTTCGTTTCCAGAATGTGTGCTAAACCAAACGAARAATGTGCAAACGCATGGAAAGAATATTTAAAGATTAGCCACACAAAACCAAGAGCGCACTTGCTGAAGTCCGGCCTTTAATGAATCACCCACAGTTCAGCCCGCCTTGAGGAAGTCCATCCAGGTTTGACAAAAAGCTTTGAGGCGTGGCTCCGCCTATTTGATTACGTCATCAGTGAAGGGGGTCCCTGTCGTTCTGTCGAAGCCACACCCTCAAACATACACAACCTATYCTAATGATTTAAAAGTTCAAATATGTGTYGGATTTGTTTCCAGGMATGTAGCTATTAATATGAAATCATCAAGTTTGAGCAAAACAGTCACATTAACAATCATTACAGTTCTATCATAAAGCTATACCGTGTAGTGTAATTAAATCAGTACAATAACCTAAAACCCAATAATTACTTCAGCTGCACCTGGGATTTCTTCCATTGACAAGGATTTCTTCAGGAGAATTTTCATCCGGGGCTATCAGAGAACGTCGAATTTCTGCGCAGTTTCTGCTTGTAGTTTATTTTACCTGGGCCAATCAGCAAACAGAAGGCGGAGTTTTGAACTACATTGATTTTCTGCGCAGTTTCTGCTAGTTAATTTAGCAATGACAGTGGAGGAAGTGAACGAAGCCAGTCTGTGTTGATAAGGCTTCAAATTAAATTAAATTTGTCTGACAAAGCAGCAGCTCTCATTTACAGTCGTCTCGTTCAGCTCAGTACTTCTCTCCTCTCAGTAGGGTTGTTTACAGCGCTCGCAATTTCTAGTTAGCTTCTTAGCTTAGCCTCCTTCACAGCGACATACGTCGCAGACAACAGATCCAATCATTTTAAACTTCAGCAGAGGCCACGCCTCCAGCAAGAATCTCTTCTCTATGGCCGAGAGTCCACACCCTCGTATGAAGCCAAGTGAAGGACAAGGGGCTGGTTTTTACCAGGCTATAAAGTTATAGATGTTTTCAAAAAAAAATTCCAGAACCTTGAACTTATTTTTAAAATTCAAACTTTCAAAGATTTCAAGGACCTGTGGGAACCCTGTGAATAGTTCAACTTTTATTTTGCTTGCACCTAAATGATTTATGTAAGATTTAAAGAATGGAGTTTATTCTATTTGTTGACATTTTGTACAAWGAACAAATGTTGTTCTCTTTAAGATTATCAACCTAATTCATATCATCTCAGTTCATATCATCCCAACTGTTCGAGATCATCTTTAACCTGTTAACCAACAACCTGCATCAACCGAACCGATAAACAAAAAGGATGAATGAATGAAGTTGGTCCTTTGTTTAACCTTGTTGAGTTTAGGCAGGCAGTGAAGAAATAAATAAAATAATTTGACAATATAAACCCTTTCAACACAGTGTTTACATCTAGTAATCCAGGATTAACATACTGAAGGTAATTATCTTGTGAGATAATTATTACAAACCCCCCGCAGTGCACACATGTTTATTATTATTATTATTATTATTATTATTATTATAGTTATTTAGACTTGCTAACATCAGCAGCATTGAGGAAATTCCAGACAACAAAAACTTCTTAAACGCTTTTTACTGTTTGGTTTGACCCTTCTAGATTCTCACAGAAACATGATCCAATATGTGTTATTCACACGTTAACAAGTTAATTACATTTACTTGCATTTCTGTCTTGTTTTGTTCAGAGGTCAGTGGTCTCGCTCTGTTCCGGTCAGCTTGGTGCACGTTATTATTACTATTATTATAGATGTAACTTTAGTATAATCTCCTGCTTCTGCAGCCAACATTACAAACACCTTAACCAGCTGGCTTCATTCATCTGTTGCTGCAGCAACGCGCCCACACAGGAAGGCAAAAGCTCATTTCCACAGGTAATCTATGGATGGAATCAACAAACTGGCTCAGTGATGTACCGATGCTCCACCTTCTGCAGGCAGACACACACACATAACTCCTCCTGATTCCTCTCTCTCTCTCTCTCTCTCTCTCTCACACACACACACACACACACACACACACACACACACCTTATGCAAAATATGCTCAGCACCGTCCCGCCTTCATCCTCTACCTAATGTACTTACTTTATCTGCTGCCCTTCATCTTTTCTCCTTCTTCATCACTTGTTACTCAACCGTATCTGTTCCCGTTTTCCCCATCAGGTCTCATCCTGCCCTCCCTCTCTTCATCTTTAACCCAGCGGGCTGCAGATGGTGCTTAATGGACACATAACTGCCTCATGAATAATTCTGCAGGCACAAGGTGAATCATAGGACAGATACGTTTGTGGACAAACCATATGGAACTGTGCGACTTTAGAGCTATTATTGTTTTCAGATTGTGATTTTCTACATTTTTTAATAGAAAAAATATTTCACCATAGTACTCCTCTGACAAAAATAAGTTTTTATTACCCCTATTCACAGGAGACTGTACTCTCACCATTCCTGTTCACCCTGTACACGTCAGACTTCCAGCACAAGTCAGACTGCTGTCATCTACAGAAATACTCAGATGACTCTGCAGTTGTTGGGTGTATCAGAGATGGACAGGAAGCTGAAGACAGAGCTGGTGGACCGCTTTATGGCATGGTGTGGGAACAATCATCTCATCTTGAATGTGAACAAAACAAAAGAGATGATTTTAGATTTCAGGGGAAATAGTGTCAGATCAAAACGTTTCCATCATGGTGTTACGTTTGACGAAGGAATGAACCCAGATCTGGACGTAGAAACGAAGTATAATAAAAAATATGTATTTAACAAAAATAAAGTGCTGACAGGGCAGCAAAATAAATCAAAACACTAAGGAGCCACGGGAAACACAAGGACAGTGAAACAGGAGGCAAAGCCATGTAATGATCCAGCGAGGATATGGAGGACAAGACCAGTATTTAAAAAAACAGAGGGAGAGAGGAAATGACAAACACCTGGGAGGAGGACTGATTGGAGATTGAAGACAGGTGAGGATGATAAACAGAGAATGACCTAGAGACAAGCTGAGGAGAATTGAAAGGTGGTGACAGGGAAAACTCAAAACAGCCAAAAACACACATCATGACACATCGGAAATGTGGAGGTGGTTGAGGAATATAAATACCTCGATGTTCATCTGGACAACAGACTGGACTGGAGACTCAACAGTGAAACAGTCTACAAGAAAGGACAGAGCAGTGTTAAGAATCTGAGTTTGAGCTCTGATAAAAACCCGAAAACAGATAAAGGTTTACAAATTTTATTAAAATTGCTGGTGTGGAGCTGGAACAACCCAGGTGCGTGGGTCCGGTTTTCTGGACACAGAAAAAACTGGTTAGTGGCTGTAAGACTCAGGGACAAAATACTACTAGTATTTTTAGCCACTAACCTGGTGTCAACTGGGAGCCTCCATGTGGAAACACTGACTGTGTCAGTTTGGTTCCAGAGAAACACGATGACGTCCCCGACAATCCTTGGGAAAGTTGCGGGTCCGAGAAACGGGTCCGGGGTCCAGGGACAGACGAGGGTCATACACAGAGGGATTAGAGAATACGACAGGTTAAGAGGAGCAAATTTAACTCTTGAATCCGGGAGGCAGGCAGGGGTTGAGAACCAGGAAGTCTGAGGTGTCGTGGTGCCGAGCAAGGGAGAGACGAGGGGCAGGAGTCCGAGAAACAGAAACAGGGTCATAACCAGAAGAGCAGATGGCAGAAKGTATCCGACATGGGCTGAGGCAAGAGGCGGTAATCCAAGGGACGAGAAGGGGGTCGAGGAGCCAAGATCAGAACAGGACATGGGACAAGAATGCTGGTGAATCATAGACTGGCTGATGATAAACTGGCAGAGTGCTGAGGGGAACTGCTGGCTTAAATACAGAGGGACACAGGTGAGTTCCATGAGCTGATTACAGTACCTGAGGATCTGTGAAGGGAGGGGGAGCAGGGCTGTGACAAGGCTGAGGAAAAGAGCTGCTAAAAACACATAACATGAGATAAAAACAAAAACAAAACTAAAACTTGAACTAAAACTATAACAGAACCCCCC